GACTATGTTCTACTGAGTTTATCACTTCTTTTTGGAAAGAACTAATATATACCAAGTCATAATACCTTCTCAGCTTTAGATTTTGCACATATCTCCTCCACGTCTCTTACTCTCTATTAACCTTGTTGATGAAAGTCCTCAATGACCAGAATTTTTTATATTTGACCCATATTGTTCCATAATTTTATCCTTTATGGTTTGTGGGATTTGCTTTTGTTTCTGTTATAAACACTTTACAAATAGAAAATTGTAGATATAATCAGCATGTTTAATAACATATAATATCCCACCCACCATGTTGATGGGACTGTAATGCACCAAACCATTTCTACACTCTCCTTTTATTTGATTTTTAGGTTGATTCTAATTTTTTACTAAAATCATGATAATTGCAGTAAACCTCCTACTGTTTGTCAGTTTTTCTTTTATATTGTTTTAAGAGAAATTCTAAGACTGGATGACTTGGTTAAATCACAGAACCATTTTTTTAATGACTATTAAATATTGCCATAATGCTTGCCCAAGGAATCTGTATGTTTTTGTAACTTGTGACAGAATTGTCATGATTCAGGAAAAATGGATGTGGGGCATGAGGAGGGTCGTGTCCCAGGCTTCAGTTGAGCCCCTGGGACGTGCCCTGCCGTGTGAGTCCTTGGCTTTGCGTAAGAAAGAATTCAAGAATGAGCCACAGTTGAGTAAAGGTAGATTTATTTAGAGAGATACATCGAAAGGCAAGAGAAACGCCACAAGGTGAGGGGATTGGGTGCTCAGATTAGAGTAAAAGTAAAAGTAAAAAAGTGCTCAGAGACAGTCACAGAGTGGGCTGTCTCTGAATGCGGAGGGGGTGGGGGGCAGCTGCAAGGCACTGTGTTGCCAGTTTATGTGGGCTTGGTGGCTTATAAGTGGAAGGACCGATCTAACTAGCCTGGGGAAAGGGCTGGGATTCCCAGGAAGTTGGTCTTTCCCACTCTTTGACCTTTTGTAGCTAGCCTTGGGACTGCCATGGCGCCTGTGGGTGTGTTATTTGCCATCTTAACATATTACAGTGAGCATATAATGAAGCTCAAGTTCTGCTAGAAGTTAAATC